CTTCCTTGGCTACGTATCTCGGTTTTTTGGAGGCTTAGAGCGTGTGAAAGCGCATTATGCATTGTGCCAAGGTCAGGCAAGAGATGGCAATGATTGCAAGCACACGCAAAGGTCACACCTCGGATAGGAGAAGGCGCTGGCATGCAGGCATCGACGGCCCAAAGCAGAAACAACAGGATTCGGGTGTTATGTGCTGCTGCATCTCAACCTTGGAAGGGAAATTAGCAAAAGACCATCCAAGATGCCAAGTCGCAGTGCGGTGCTTGAAAAGGTGTGCCGCGCATCCCTGCAGCCGACTCGCCTTAGCACCAAACTTAGACATGACTTGATATGCCCCTGGACGTGTCTCCTCGGGCCCCTGGCCTGCTTCTGGCAGCGGCCACTCCCCCACGGGCACCTGGCCAGGCTAGGCAAGCTGTCCGCGGTCCTTCCAGCAATGGTCCAGCTGTCCGGGAGAGGTGGGCTGTTCTTGCCATCAGAAAACCGTCATACCGCCATCGATCAAATCATCGTCTGTGCCACCTCTCACCTTCTTGACTCAGTAGGAGAAGACACTAGCAGTGATGGACGGCCGCTCGACAAGTGAAGATTCAGGGCCAAAGCCCCCAGCTGCTTGCTGCTCCCTCCCAAGGTATTAGCTAATCAAGGCCATTGTTTATTTTTTATTTTCAGCCTGACTTGGTCCCTCGTGGAATTAATTGTCTCTCTGCATGCAGCTTGTCTCAAATTCCCATTTTCTCAGCTTCCGGCTACAACAGAGTTACCCGCTGCAAGACTTCAGAAACGAGCAACGTTGTCCTCCCCCCCCCCCCCCCCCCCACCTGTCCCGAAGGAAAACCCGCTCCCAACGGGACGCGATCCTCGTTTTCGTGAGAGCCGGGGACCCCCCTGATTCAACCATACCAGAAAGCTGACCAGGGCGCGCTGAGTGACGCAGTAAATGTAACCTGTCTGCGGACAATGAACGTCCTGCTTAAAGTACCTATCCTCTGGAGGGCAGCATGCCCTGGTCTTCTCTTAAAGTTTTTTTTTCTTCTTTCTCTTCTTTTATTTTCTTTTTTCAAGGCAAAAAATAAAAATAAGACCCCCCGGCCGGCTTCTTCGGAGACGACGCCACGAACTGGCTGCCCAGGACAGGTCCTCTTACTTACGCGTCCTGCGCAACCGGAAAGCCGTTATCATAAAGCCGCCAACACCGGGTGTTGGGCTGCTTTAGTGCAAGGGCCGCTTTCCAGTTCGCAGGAAAACTGCAACGGCGAGGCACTGCCTGGGGTGGTCTGATGATCGGCATCGTCCGCAGTGAGCCGTTGGCAGGTATCCTGTACGTACATGTTATGTTCATGAATACGAGTGTGCGGGTATCTTGGTGTCTTGGTGTGTGCACCGCACCCCCGGTCCTCTCAGCGGGACTGTCTGCACGACGGTTCTGGATCGGCTGTGTAGCTGGTCGAACATGTCTCTCGGTTATTAAGCTTAGAGATGAGAACGCTGAGCCACGGCTGTTAGCCACCTATCGCCTCGATCACCAACCCCTTGTCAATAGTTGGGCGCGACTGATCTGTCACCGCTCACCTCGACCGGAACACACTGCCTAGGTACACCTCACGAGCCCTGCATCGCGGGCCGGCGCTGTCTCCCACTAGCCCGACCATGTAATTTGACATTCGAGTAGGATGCGGTAAAGAGTGGCCAATGTCTCAGTTCGATGTCCCTCCGCAGCTGGCCAGGGAAAGGGGATAACACGCCCGCGTTCCTTGACTGTGACATTTCCCCCTTGGCCATACCCGCAAAGCATTCGCCGCGGTTTCAATATACCCCGAGGGCGCCTGTCGCGACTTTGCTGAGATCATCATCCGCGCGACTCCATTTGATATTCAACTGTGCCTGGCGGCGAATCAACCAACTGCCGACAACCCTTACGGACCGATAATAGAAACGGCTTGCAGCAGACAAGGCTTACCCGACCTAGGGGTGGCGCACAATACTCCTGTTCCGCTGGACGCAAAGAAGGGGGGGGATCTTCATTGAGGATCAGCAAATTGCACAAGAAAAAAACCGTCGTCCGTTCCGTGTGTGGAACCGCCCTACTAGCCACGTTATGGCCCATGACATCCCCGCTCCCGCTTCCCTGGCTAGAGGCGGGCGTACTTCGTACTTTACGGCTTGTTTAGTAACAGCCGGTGGCTATGCTCTGTGGCCCGCATGCCGGGTTCGCTGGATCCTCGAGAGTTGATGACGGTATCGGCTCATGGAACCTATGGTGACCTGCTTTCCAGCCCTCAAAGACGTTGGGGGAGGGGCCAACTTGTCCAATGCCGTGCAGGTCCTGCTGGGGTAGGACCGAAGACGTTGCACGAGAGCGTCGAGCTTGGGACGAACTGAGTTGATGTCGTCGATTTGAGGTTCCCAAGGCGGTGGTCTAGACCCTCCCCAAATTCAGGAACGGCGCAAACTCTCCGGGTTGGTGGTACCTTGCCTCGGGTTGGCGAGCGCCGTGCCGGCGTACGCGAGGAACCAAGTCTGGGGCCAAACTCAAACGATGCCTAACCGACGACTGTCAATCCCGTCCTATTGTTGAACCCACTCTCATTCAACTGCTGGGGCGTGCTCGAATGAGCGTAAAGGTACCATGGAAGCGGCCCCCCCCCCTCCCCCCGCAACGATGGCCATGCCGCAGCTTCCCCCGAGTGGGTGTTGATCCGGATCGTTGCGATCTCGACTCCATTGGCCCTCGTTGATTGTTGGGGCAGTATTGCTTGACCTCGCTTCGCCGGTATAGCCTGTGCCTTGCCGGCTGATGGTACGGATAAGCTGCGGGTGACCTCCAATCTCCTGGGGCTGCGGCTCCGATCCAATCCAGACCAGGTCTCAAGGGGGGCAAGAGCCGCTTGGCTCGTCGACGGACATCTCCCACATCCACTAACATTGCCAGGACCGAATCGCCGTACGTGATCTGCCTGCAGGACTGAGGCCATTTACAATCCACGCATCGGTCGCGTCATTTGGCCCTCCTTTGTCGCCGCACGTCCAACGGCTGGAAGCAGCAGCCAGACCATCACGGTCGAACACTGCTCCGGGGAGTCCAAGCTGTCTGGTCTTTTCGCCCGGTTGTGTTGTATCTACACGGGGCCGCTGTGAGCTTGGAAGGGGCTCGAGTCTCCGATTCGGCCGCTAACGGTACTTCTCCTTGGCCGAATGCAGGTAGCCGGCAAGACGTTGTTTCGGATACCCATATCTCTCCGGTTCATGGTCACTGTCGCGATGGATAGGGAGGGACGCCCAAGCACGTGGCTGGTGTGCTCGACAGGAGGCTGCAGGGCTGTGTCCCATGAGGTGATGTGAGGTCCTTAGCGTTTCTTGGTCGGCTGCCGTTGAGCTACGGGTGCCTGCTTCCGAGCCCAGGCTGAGGTCGTGCAAGATTGTAAGTAAGTTAAACCGAGGTACGTTGAGTCTTCGATGTTTGTGCGCTGTGATAGCGCCTTATTCCCCCTCCAACGGTCTGCGGGGGGTCTGATTGTACTACAAGGCAATTTAAGTCCCAGCATATGGGCCACTTGAGTCGTCTCCCTCTGATGAACGAGGCACGTCATCAACTACGGCTTGCTACTTTGTCGGGTTTCTCAGGGGTCAATGGCCACTAGTCTGATATCGTTGGTGCAGGACATGAGATTCTGATGTCTTGCGGTTTAACGTTTGCCTCTAAAACGTACTGCTGCGACGATCTCTTGAGTGGAGTCCAAGATCTCTCGAAGATCATGTCTCTGTTTTCTTTCCGAGTTGGCATCCCGGCGCTACCCCCCCCCCCCCCCCCCCCCCCAGTACCCTCCCTCCGGGATACGGCGGACCGCGCCGGTTGGGGGCAGCGACGAGGGCCCTCTAGTAGGCGAGGGAGTTTGAAGGTGATCAATTGTGATGTCCGTGTTCGGTGTCTTGGCGATGGCTGGGAGCGTCTCTTTGGACCAGTATAAGAAGATGGACGGCAACTCGGTGTCCATGTTGAGACGTTCTCGCTCTTTTATGCGTGTCGTTGGCAGTCCATCTCCGGAAGGCTCGTCTTCATATTGCGCATCTCGTAACCAACAAATCTCGTTTGGCTTATCAAGTGAGGAGAGACACTGAAGACTTGTGACGAAAGGGATCTTGGAAAAGAAATCCGAAGGAGGGACCGAAGTGAATGGTGACAACAAATGAGAGGTTGTGGGAGACGCTCATCGCCGGCCAGGGTCAAGGTGAAGCCCAGACCCAGCAGTCGCTTCACAAATACAAATAAAGAAAAGGAGAGAGTCACCAATGGCCGCCGTGGGCTTCTCCCGCTTCATTGACCATTCTCACAGCAATAATCCTTGGCGACCAAGCAGATGGCCCGGGGAGAAACTTCACGCTGTTGCCAGCCAAGACACTGACCACGATCATTACTTATGTATTCATCTTTGGGCTTCCTCGGTCTACCAGAAGCCTCTTTTCACTGGCCCCAAGCCCGCCCGAATAGATGACTTTACCAACTGGCAGCGTGCTTCGTGGCATTCAACGCCAGCCGCGGCGCGTCTCTGCCATATTGTGAACAGCCACTCACTGCCAGGTGGGGTTTCGGATGAGGCGAGATTGTGCATCATGTTTTATAGGCCAGAACAAAGCTGCTGGAGCTCTTTGAATCGGATACAAGTCGCAATGCTGGAACTGATGACTGAACTTGATCAAATAACGAGAAGACATGAAGGCCGCGTGGCTTGGAGCCAGTATGAGCTGTGATTTTATGTACTTTTTTTCTTCTTTGGTCTCCGTCCATCAGAGCTGAGATACCCAAGCCAAGGAAGATTTCTGGGACGGAATCATGAATCAGTTTTGGGTGAAGCCAGGGACGTAAGCTGAGATTCGGAAACGAAGTCAAATGAGCAAGGCCTACCATCCAGCATCTATGGCCACACTGTAAGTCAGTCACTCATTTGGTTGTTTGGCCCTAATCAAAACGGATGGCTATATTCCTATAATACAATACTACTCGGTATTGTGAATATAGCAGACCCAAAACCGCAGCCGAACAATGGAGCCAACAACGACAGTGACATAGGACCTCTGACAGTCTTCGCGGCTCTGATGGGCAAGGACATGAGGACGCTTCGGCGGCCGTTGGAAGAGAAGGAGGCATCTTCTATTCTTTCCTTTTTCATACTTTCCAAGGGTTTGATATGCTCGTGTATGAGGCAAACACCGGCGGGCCTTCAAATCTTTCTTTCCAAAAAGGGCGAGGGGTTGCCGCGAGTCCCTTGGGACCTTCGTGTCAAAGCCTTTTCTATAACCAGTCTCATGACTTGGTTTTTTTCTACAATTTACAAAACCCAGGTCCAGGACTCACTCACTAGCTGCGTCCTCATTTGTCCGTGTAGTCAAATCCAAAAGCATATCTCTACACACGCCCACGCGTGAACCCCCCCGCCTACTACAACTTGGACTTTGTCTCCTTTTCCTCGTCATCCTCCTGCTTCAGTCGGATAAGGCCCTGTTTGTACCCAGTCAGTAAGCAAGAAACAAGAACAAGAACAGCAACAACAACAACAAAAACCACGAGGCATCGCCCGAAAGGCATGCCAGAGGGGGGGGGGCCTACCTCCTGGACGCAGGTCGCCAAGAGCGTCCCGTCCGCCGAAAAGATCTTCTGCAGCACGACGCCGCGGCCGTCGCCGCTCCAGGGGCTCTCCATCTCTGTGAACATCCACTCGTCGGCGCGCAGGCGGCGCGGCTCGTGGAAGTAGATGGAGTGGTCGAGGCTGACCATCATGCCGAGGTGCGGCCGCGTCTTCCAGTACTCGATGCCGCCCGACTCGCCGTTGCCCTCGAACTCGTTGAGCCGCTCGACCTGCTCCCGCAGCTCGGGCGGCAGGTCGGGGAACTCCTCGGGCCGGAAGGGGAAGCGCCACAGCTTGTGGATGCGGCCGACGGTGCCGATGAAGTAGCTGTCCGACATGTAGGCCAGCGCGTTCAGGTGGGCCTGGTGGCCGCCGGTGACCGAGATGCGGCCGCGCGCGCGCACCCAGTTGCGGCTCTTGATCTCGTCGAGCCTCTTGCCCTCGTCGTTGGCGCCGACCAGGGTGATGCGGTGCGTCTGGAAGGGCGAGTGCAGGTTCCACTCGGGCTCGTCGTTCCAGTCGGCCGGGGGCGGCGTCACGCCCTCGGGAAGCGGCGCCGCGTGGCGGACCTGCTTCTCGCCGCCGCTGCCCTCCTTGACGAAGGAGACGGTGGTGGTGAAGATGCACCGCCCCCGCTGGCGGGCCTGCACCGTGCGCGTCGCGAAGGAGCGCCCGTCGCGCACCCGCTCGACGTGGAACAGGATGGGGATCTCGGAGGACCCCGCGAGGAGGAAGTAGCAGTGGCACGAGTGGACGAAGAAGTCGTTGGGGACCGTCTTCTGCGCCGAGGCCAGGCACTGGGCGATGACGGCGCCGCCGAAGATGCCGCGGGCGCCCGGCGGGTGCCAGGGCTGGCGCGTGTTGGTGAAGATGTCCTTGCGGGGGGGGTGAGGTGTCAGTTTGCGTTCTTTCGCGGGAACGATTGTCCAGTTGGTGAGCGTGGCCACGAAGAAACAGACCAGGTCTTTGGAGAAGACCTGCTACAGGCGCAATTGCTGGATACTACTCACCGGTCCAAGCACACCGAGCTCCGTCACCTCCAACACGTTTTCAATTGGGGCCTTATTGGGGTCATCAGGCGGCGGCCTGATGATTGTTGATCTTCCACTGGCCATTTCTGCCTATGGTCTCAGTTCCTTTTCTTCTTCTAATCTTCAGATGGAGGGTAGCCTGTGAAATCGCCGTCTCTTGTCATGGGACGATTAGGCCAAATACCCGTGCTCAGTAAAATCTATTCTTCACAAATCGCGTCTTCGTGTTTTGCGATGCTCAACTTCGGACGCTCTGGGGGAAGAAAGAATCCGTACTTTTAAACGTCTTGAATGACGAAGAGGACAAACGAGACAGATGGCAGGGGTGAGTGAGTTGGATGAGAGCTTCAAAATGTATCGACGTTGGTTTGGGACCCCGGGAATCTGGTTGAGACGCGGCCGGATGATCCCCCCTAAATACATCGCCCATTCATTGGTCAGTGTCCGAGCAGGGAAAGTGCCGAGGTCCAGGTGTGGGGATGCTTTTATGTCACCGAGCGTTGAGAAAAAAAAAAAAAAAAACCTTCTTCACCGAGGTGCATCCGGGAACGGTGTGCGCCGCCCAACCGACGCGACGGTGATCGGTGCACGAGGCGGGCTCCACCACACCCCCCGAGTGCGGATGATATCACAAGCTTCTTTGGCTTACCTAGGCAGAGCTGCCCGCCTACATAATGCATTTCCACACACCAGGCAGTCAGTTAACCAGGTGACACAACACGGCTTATCGAAAGGGTGTTTTTTATTTTTGTCATTTTTTAAATAGTTTTTTGCTGATACTTTCTTGCTTTCTTTCTCGCTCACAGTCTGCAGTCTTTGGGACGACGACGACGACGACGACGACGACCCGGCCACGGTCTTAACCCCCTAGTATTCGCCCCAGCTTCCCCGGGCCTTCCCGCTACGGTCGGCGAATCCTGCTGTTGTCGCTGCCGCCAACCGTCGTCCATTCAAAAGTTCGCATGTCACTGATGCACACTCAATGCATCCTTAAAGTCAATGCCATGTGTAATCTTGTGACACTATTGGCGATGCTACCTTTACTGCAGCCCTGTTGTCCCAAGGTTCAACCTCGCATGGCAAAAATTCACATGGGCCAGTTCGTCCAATCGTTCTCACAGACGCAGGTAGACGACGCAGGGCATGAGCAATGCCATGGTATAGTGTCACAAATCGTCAAGATTAGTATCTGTACATAGCAAGCGAGCGAACGCCTATTTCAGTACCCTCATCTATATTGCACTGTTGAACCCCGTTCCCGGGGACTGGGAGGAACTACCTCGTCCCAGCAACAGTCCACCGGATACCCTTCGGCCCCTCCGACAGCCGCAACTGCTTCCCTTCCGGCGCCATCTTCTTCGAAACGCTCTTGGGACTACTGCTCTCTCGACTCTTTCCCGCGACGCCCACAGCGACGACGGAAGGCTCCTATTTCACGTCCTCGTAGATTGGCTCCAAGCCATCCCAAGCCTGCTGTGGGTCGCCATCGGGACCGGCCCTTTCTCTCTGCTGCCAGTACTTGCCGTTGAACTTCCAGTACGATTCGCCCGTGATCTCGCACGTCGCCTTCTCGAACCACGCCGGCCGGAACTCGAGACCCTTCTCCTCGCGCATCCGTCTCCGCGCGCGCTGCGCCTCCTCCAAGCGGTTCTTCTCCTCGGCCGCAAAGTCGTACTCGCCGTCTTCCATGGCGCGCTGGTCCGGACGGAGACGTGAGTCCGTTGGCGGCAGCCAGGGCCTGAGCTTGTCGTCGATGTGGTTGAAGGTGAGCACGAAGGGCGTGAGGTTGAAGGGGATGTTGGGCGGGCGGGGGTTGGCCTGCCAAATGAGGAAGGCCTTGTTGGGGTCAGTGATGCTGCCCTTGGGGACCGACGCCGAATCGCCGGGGTCCTCGACCGTCGCCTCGTATCCGGGTGTCAGTCGAGCGTACAGCTTCGAGTTCCAGCGGCCTCCGATGCTGTACCGCACCCTGCCGTCGGCGTCGAGCACCTTGCCTGAAATCTTGTATGCGCTGGAAGCCTTCCAACCACGCGGCTGGAACTCAACCTGGCAAACCTCGCCTGTCGTCCAGTTCTTGACCTCCATAGGGCCGTAGTTGTCCACCGTCGGGTTACCGGTGATGATGCCGATGACGGAGGACGTGACCTTCTTCCAGGTATAAAAGTCTTCCTTGCCTCCGGCCGTGGGTCGAAGCCGCAGGAACCAGGTACCGAGGGGGTTTATGTCGAAGGACTTGCCGTAGAACTTGGACTTGACAGCCGACTCACCCCAGTACGTCCACTTGGGAGACTCGGCCCACGCAGCACCTACGGGCGGGTGGTGGCTGACCTGCTCGATGAAGAAGCGGTAGTTCTTGTCGGGCCGGACGTACTCAAAGGTCTCTCCGAGCAGGGGGTTGAAAGGCTTCGCAACACGGCCGATTGTTGACGCGTACTCACTGGCGGCAAAGGCCGCCACGTAGATAAGACGTTCAATCGAATCGGACCGCTCAGCAGCTTGGTCCAGAAGCTCGACGTATTCCATGTCCTCACCGGCGCGGTACAGAAGCGACGTGGGCTCATTGAAAGACACGGGCAGCGTCATCTTCGTCATGTCCTTGCCGATCATGGACTTGAGAATACCCTGCGCACAAGTTAGTGAACCGATGGCGAAGACTGCTATGGTAGAGACTTACCCAGAGAGATATCTTGGGCCGATCGTCGGCATCCATCTTGAGGCGCGTTCGAATACCGTTTTCGTAACCCTTGAAGGAACTGCTGATGTCGATATCGCCAGAGACGACCAGCTGCTGCTCATTCTTCTCGTTTTGCGGTGTGCCTGCTACATCGGATTGCGGCAGCTGGCTGACTTCGACCTCTCCGGCATCCACTGCGTCGAAGAACTCATCTGAATCTTCAGACTCAGAGTCCGACAACTCGAGCTGATGTAGAACCGTCTGCTTCCTCGACAGGGGCCTGCTGGGCGATTTGGGCCGGGTCGCGAGGCCGTCGTCAGCTCCTACGGCAGCCTCGACGGTCTTTGTACCGTCGACCTTGTCGTGCCCGTCGGCCCTCTGGCTAGCGGCCGCCGACGACTCGTTCATGACCTCGCGAAGTGCACGCTTGGCAGCCTTGCGCTTAGCCTCGGCCTGGTCAACGCGCTCCTCCAGAATCTCCTGTTCCTTGGCGACCTTGGCCATGCTCTCCTCCCACATGCGACGCATGTCAATCTCGCGGTCCAGGCGATACTGCCAGTAGGCGTCGCGGTCCTTGGAGATGCGCATGAGATCCCCGACGAGTCCCGTCAAGCTTCTGACAGCCGCGTCGTAAGTCGTGAGGGCCTGGGTAACCTTGGCGTCGGACACCATGGTGTTGGGGTTCTTGGACGCCTCGGCCAGCATCGCAGCATTGACAGCAGAAATGGTGTCGAGTTGCAACTTGGCTGACTGGGCGGTAATGTTAAATGCGTCCTTGGAAACGGAAGGCTCCTCGCGGCTGCTGACATCCTCAAAGTCGTCGTCGTCGTCGTCATCGTCGGGGGCATGTTGGCCGTTTCTGGTAGCTCTGGATTGACCGGCGTCCGTCGCTGCGTCCGCGAACTCGTCGTCGTTGCTAGCGACAGTGCTTGCACCGGCGAAGTCGCTCTTGGGAACAGACATCTTGCCTTGCGATATGGACCTGGGAACCTGCACGCTGCTCCTTCTCGTGTCGGCTACGCTAGCGCTCTCGCTGTAGGCGTCGCTGATGGACAGCTCGGGCGACTTGCCAGCCTGCTCAGCCTTGGCCTGTCTGAGAAGCTCGGCGCCACGAGCCTTCTGGCGCTCTTCTTCCTTGGCCTGGTCCTTTGTCCATTGGATCGAGTTGTTCAGGGCCCAGAACCAGCGCTTTGCCTCGACTTCGTGGTTGGCCTTGAGGGTGTACTTGACCGAGGATTTCCCGATGATCTCGAACTTTGTCTTTTCGTCGGCGCTCATGTGCAGCTTAGCGATGCGGGTGTTGATGGCTCCGCGGCAGGCGGAGCCGGCGTCGTCCTGGTGCTTGTAGTAGCTCAGGACACCGTCCTCGAGAACGAACCACCGGAGCTGATACCCCTTACGGTAGTTCGTCCACTTCTTCAGGTAGCCCTTCATCTCTCGCGCCTCCCGTCCAGCAACGGGGTCTCCCGAGGCGGAGGCTCCAGCGCCCTGGGAAGCCGCCTGGCCGAGGACGGCCTTCTCCTGGATGCCTCTCTGAGCCGCGACGGCGGCGGGGGATCGCTTCAGCATGGCGCGTGTGACGTCGTCCTTGGTGACGTCCTGGGGAAGCTTGCCCTTGCGGTCGCGGCGGAAGGGATCGGCTCCGTGCAGAAGGAGGACCTGGATCAGCTGGGTGTTCTTCTTGCGGGCGGCCTCGTGGAGGAGAGTGCCGCCAGCCTGGATGGTGTTGGGCTCGGTCGCGAACTCGGTGCTGTTGATGTCGAGGATCTGCTTGAGGCGGGGTTCCTCCAGCACGTTCTCGAGAGCCTTGTAGTCATTCTGCGCAATCAGGCCCTGGATTTGCCTGACCTTGTTCTCGGCGAAGAGCGAGCGCGAGAGCTGTAGCAGCTGGAAGATTTCGGGGTTTCGGGCGACGTCGATGGGCAGCTTGGCCTGGTAGTTGGCAACGGCGTCGTTGATGTCTTTCTGGTCGAGCAGGAGTTTGACGACCTGGGTCCGGCCCTGGATGGCGGCGATGTGCAGCGGGGTATTGCCGTCCTTGTCCCTCGCGTTGATGTCGATGGTTCCGGCGCCGTCAGATAGGACGTACTCGACGACCTGGTACTCGGCGCATTGTATGGCAAGGTGGAGGACGGTGGTGTCGTCGAGACCACCGCCGCTGAGGGTATTGATGGAGGAGATGCTCGTGCGCGGGCCGCCCTCGGCGGTGTCGCGTATCGCTTTGGAAATGGAGGCGGTGTCACCGTTGCGCAGGGCCTCGACGATGCGAAACTTGCGTACAGACTGCTCGAGGGAGGCGCCCTTTTCGCTGAGTGCGGCGCTGGTGGTGCTCATATTGGGTGGGGTCGCGGACGGTGGGCCGTTGTGGGAGGGGATTCGGCCCATGGAAGGGGAGATGGAGAGCCTGTTGGCTCCGTTGCCTCGAGTAGGATGCTGAGCCATTGATATGTTGGTCTGGGATGCGGCTGCAGATGGTGGCGACGTCAGCGGCGCCCCGTCATCCGAGTTGGAAGGATCTTCGTCGCCGCGGGAGTGATTTCGTCGCAGGAGGGAGAGGGCGGCAGCCGACTTTGACCGCTTATGGGTGCTGGAATCAGGAGAGGGTTAGCTTGTCTGCTGCCAAGGTCAGGTTCCAGAAGCTGCTGTCACTGTCGCTGCAGGAGGGGTGGAATGCCCGCAGAGGTGGCCTCTCGCAAGAAAATGGGCCGAGAGGACGGCGATGGAGGGTCAGAGGTGAATGGGCGGGCGGCAAGCGAAGTGCACCAGCAGATGGGGAATTCACGACGTACCTTTCGCCAGCGTCCGACATGTTGCAGAGCAGCAGAGAAGCCAAGCTTCAGATGGGGCAACAAGCTTTCGACGCAGGCCAGCGCAGTGGGATACCCACTTTCTCGTAAAGATGGTGCGAGTTAATATTGCGTTTTCTGGATCCCCACTCGGTAGGTAGTGTAGGCAACGCAAAATGGATGGAGCAATCGGTAAACAAGGAACGGACAGGTGGGCAGGTAGTCGAAGGGATGGATGGAACTGATGGATAAAGGTAGTGTATGTAGGTGGGTGGTTTATGCTCTCGCAGGAAATATTGGCGACTGTCGCGCCCGCTGATAGGCCAAGGGAGGTATGGGGTGGAGGAAGAGGGGGGGGGAAGCGAGAGAGGGGACAAGGAGAAGGATGAGCTGATGAGGAACGTTGATGCGGGATTGGGGAATTGTGAGACGTGCTTCATTCAGCGACGACCAGAAAACAGGCAAAGGCGGGGGGGGAGAAGGAAGAAGGGCGGAGATTTGGTGAGCAATCGATGGGTAAGAGAGAGATGAGTGCGGGTGACGAGCTGGACCATCGACACTGATGCCGCGTAGGTAGAAAGACGATCTAGGTACCTAAGTAGGTAGGTAGGTAGGTAATGTACCTAGGTACATACACAGGTGGATGGTGGGGGTGTGCTGTCACTGCTGCCGCCGCTATCGTCGTTGTTATTGCTGCCGCTGCTGCTGCTGCTGCCAAGTTTCTGCAAAGTTGCACGAGAAACGAAAGCGAGGGGACGAACAAAGGTGGTGGCAGTGACGCACGCGACGGGTTTGGCCATGTTGCCTTTTCAGCTGCCTGTTCCGTTTGTTTCCCGCCTTCTCCTTATTTGTTATTGTTGCCCTTCTTTGCCTCCACCTCATAATTATGCTGCCGCTCAGGTTGGAGTAAAAGAAGACTCGAAACATAACACCAAGGTATCGATGCTACTCGATAGGCCCGTCAAATTGACCTGAGAAGCGTTCCTAGCCCTGTTCCATCGACGGCGATCCCAAGAGAGTGCCCTTCCCTGCCTTTTTTTTTGTACAGTTCATCAAAACACACACACACTCGGGGTCATGCAATGTTGTTGTGTTCTCTCTATGTAGGTACCTAGGTAGGCAACTAAACACGCACGAGTGCTGTTCACTTCCTCCCTTCAGTTTCGCGAGGCCCTTGCAGCAAATCCAGCAAAGTGACGTCCCCCACCCCCCCCCCTGTCGTGAATTTGAGTGACGAAACCACGCGACCCCAGCAAATTCGACCAATCAAATTCCTCCATTCTCCTTTGTTCCACGGACACGGCATACACCATAGCGACCCTTTTCCTTCTTCGGTACGTACCTTTCCTAGCTGATGAGAGGGTGGTCAGGAAGAGGGGGTACCTCGGATATGCTATGCAAATACAGTGTTTTGGAGGTACTATGTATTTCTCCATGATGGGAAGAAAGAGCAACACCAGCCCTCCCTGTCCCTGTGGCGTTCGCTGTTTAACCGGAACCGTCGCCGTCATCCGTCCGCATTGGGACTGGCCGGGTCGCGATCGACGACCTCGTCGAGTCACCGTAGCAGCAGGGAGCAGTACGCCTTTGTTCGTCCGGCGAAGCTAATCTTGCTGTTTGTTACCTCCAACATCTATCCGGCGTGCTTATCCAGCCGCATAATCAGCTCGCACCGGCACTTCAATGCTTGATGCGCCCGTCCCGAACCTGAGTCCGGAACCGTGACCTCCTCTCATGCGAGTGTCTCGATGCATCAAAAAGTCTCCAATCACACCAGAAGACTACACACCTTACATGTTCTTGAACGAATTCCTATCGTGAGTCTAGGCAACTGTTAGGCCAACGCTTGCAATGCCATGAAGATTTCGAGGATTGAGTCCCCCACTTCTTCTCCTTATTTTTACCATGACTGGAGAGCATAGATACACAGAAAACACAAGTCACGTTTATACATCCCATGTAGCGAACCAAATAAATGTCGGGCCTCCCAATAACTCGGACAACATCTCTCAACCCCATTGCAAAAGAAGAGCGGCGGCAACGGCAGCGAGTCCTGCGACACCGAAGCCACCCGTCTTGCCGGCTCCGGCCTCGACTGGCTTGCTGGGGACGGGAGCCGCCGTTGTATAGCTAGGGAATCCGCCTGTGGGGGTGGGCTTGTAGCTGGTACCTGTACCCGGAATTGTCGTGTTGTACTTGCCGACCGGGACAGGGACAGTCAGGGTGGTGTAGACAAACGGCGTGGTATCTTCCTCTTCGCCATGGCCGGCAGGGGCCGTGGTAGGCTTTGGAGGAGACGGAGCGTCACCCGAGGGCTTGTTGCCGCCATGGCTGGCTGGGGGCTTGGCAACCTCGCCGGTAGGCTTGGGTGGGTGAGGCACATCGCCAGAGGGCTTCTCACCTGCCTGGCTAACTGGGGGCTTGGGAACATCGTCGGTAGGCTTTGGCGGGTGAGGCACATCGCCAGAGGGCTTAGGGGCCGTGTGAGCATCGCCCGAAGGCTTGCTGCCGGCGCCGGGGATCGTGCTGGTGTACGGGCAGACCGTGGTGTAGGCCGGCACAACATGGGTGGTGATCTGGCCAACGGGGCAGTAGGGGACGTCAGGAGCACACGAGGTGACTGTGTACGTCTTGGTCGTGTAGACAGTGCTCGTGGTCCACTGGGGAGGGGGAGGGGGAGCAGTGGTCGTGGGTACAGCAGCGGCAGTCGTTGCTGTGGCGGGGCAGACCGTGGTGTACCAAGGGATGGTCTCGGTGACGACATGGCCTGTCGTGCACGGCACTTCCGGCTTGCAGGAGGTGACAGTGGTGACCTTGGTGGTGTAGACAGTGCTGGTTACCAGCTCCTCGGAGGAAGTGAGAGTGTTCTTGGCAGACTCTGTGACGGAGGCGGAGCCAGTGGCAGAGTCGGTAACGGAACTAGTGGCGGAGCCAGTAGGGGAGCCAGTAGGGGAGCCAGTAGGGGAGCCAGTAGCAGGGCCGGTAGCAGAACCAGTAGCAGAGCCGCTACCAGTGGCGGTGGCAGAGTCGGAAGCCGTCTTGGTGACATTGGGAGAGCTGGTAGCGCTACTAGGGGCAGTAGCACTGGCAGCGGAAGTGGCACTGGCAGAGTGCGAGTTGCTCAGAGTCGTGGTGTGGAAGTCCTCATCCTCCTCCTCGCACGTGTCAGAGGCGGTGGCAGTAGTAGTGGCAGTAGTAGTGGCAGTAGTAGTGGCAGTGGTAGTGGCAGTGGTAGAGTGTGAGTTGCTCAGAGTCGTGGTGGGGAAGTCCTCATCCTCCTCCTCGCACGTGTCAGAAGCGGTGGCCGACTTGGTTGCGGAGGCGCTCGCGCTGGCACTGCTGCTCAGCGAAGTGACGGTATCGGAGTGAGTAGCCGAGCCGGAGCCAGAGGCGGAGGCGGGCGCAGACACGGCAGCGGAGCCAGTGGCTGAGCCACTGGCAGACACAGAGATAGACGCAGATCCAGACGCCGAGACTGGGCCCGATGCCGACGCGGTGGTAGCGGAGGCACTGGCGGAAGCGGAGTCGGACGCGGAATGGGAGGCAGAAGCCGATGTGGAAGCAGAGGTAGAAGCGGAAGCGGAAGCGGTGGTCGAGGCCGACGCAAACGCGGAGTGGCTGGAGCTCAGGGAATCGGAGCCCGAGCTGGAGCTTGCTGAAGATGTGGAGACGACGACAGACGAGGTGGTGGAAACTACGGCAGTCGAGGTGGCGCTCAAAGATGTGGTGGAAACGACGACAGACGAGGTGGCGGTCGAGGAGGCGAGAGACGAGGTCGATGTCGAAGTCGAGACAATGGTGGTGGACGTCTTGGGGGGGATCGGGTCGCAGCCGTACTGGAGAGCATCGGCGATGGCCTCGTGGAAGGCCTGGTCGTTGACCTGGTTCATGACGCCGCGGGTGGCGTCCCAGATGGAGACACCTCCAAAATGCGGCTTGCTCTTGTAGTTGCAGATCAGCTCCTTGATCCTGGAGGGAGGGGCATAGCCGTTCCAGCCCGCATCAGGGTGGGCGAGGACACCGAGGAAGAGCTTGGCATCCTTGCTCTTGGACGTCTGCGAGATGACGGTCTCCCAATCATCGTAGTTGGGGGTATCGGAGACCTGGCATCCGGGATTGTTGTAGAACTGGATAAAGAGGGAGTCGAACTGGGCGTTGTAGATGAGCTCCTTGAGCTGGAACCAGGTGTCGGAAGTCGGGCACTGAGGGGCAGCAGAGATGTGGTAGATGCCAACGCTGCGGAGTGTCTCAACCATCTTGATCCAGGGCTTCTGGTCGGCTTTTTGTTGTGTTAGTCTGTCGGCGTCCCAAAAGGAAGGGCAAGGGGCGGAACCTACGGTACTTGAACTCGAGGTCAAAGTCGAAGCCATCAACGGAGACGTGCTCGGTGGTGCTGATATCGAAGGGACGGGGGCCGGTCCAGTTCGGGTCATGAGGACCGAAAGTCTTGTGCAGAAGCTCGGCGAACTGTTGGCCCTGTTCGTCGTTGTCGATGTCATAGCTGCATGGACCTTCAGCTGGGCACCAGCCACCGATGGCCAGGAGAACCTTGATGCCCTTGGCCTGGCAGTGCTTGATGTCCTGCTTGATGTAGTCGCAGTTCGTGATCAACTTGGTATCCTCGCCGGTCTTTGGGTTCTTGTAAAAGACCTCGCCGCCGCAGTGGCCAGCGAAGTTGGTACCGGGATATCCACCGCTGTTCTTGGGAGAGTAGGTGACGAAGGACACAGATACGAAGGTAACCCCAGGGGCGTCACAGTAGCTGGATAACCGGTCAGAAGGATCGCCATACTGTCCCCAGTAGAGATTGAGACCGCCGAAGGGCGAAGGAGCCTTGGTCTGGGGCTGGGATGAGAAGTGAGCGACGGCCTGACCGATGGCCGCGGCGATGGCAAGGAAAGACTTGTTGAAGAGCATATCTACGGGTACCGGGAATTAGGGAATTAAGAGAGTATGCGTGATGAGTAATTTTGCAACGATTGTGAGGTGGCCGAGGCCTTTGGAAAGAGTGTGATGGTGATCTAAGATCAACGAAAGGACGCAAACAAGATGTTTGCACGACTGAGAACGCTCGCCGTCGTCTCTGGCTTCTTGACAGGAACGGAGACGGGGGTGAAGAAGAAGCAAGAAGTAGAAAGAGAGACGGGCAGCGGCGGGAGAAAGCTCTCCATACATGACGGAACCGCTGCCTCTTGGCGAAGGAGGTGCACAGCGATGGAGTGACTAACTCCATTGGGGCGACGAGCAGAAGAACATTCCCTCAAGGCGGCAGCGCATTGTGGGTGTAAACCATGGTAGCGGCGCAGGAGACTAATCTCCCCTGATGTAGGCTACTTCGTGCTTCAGAGGTTTGACGTGGTCGACAGGGTAGGTGGGTGAGTGAGTGAGCAAGGCAACGATGCCGCCCTGCGGCGCAGTCTAAGCGGGAAATGGGTGCATGTGTCTGTGTGTCTGTGTGTTTGTGTGTGTGTGTGTGTGTGTGTGTGTGTGTGTGTATGTGTGTGTGTTAATGCCGTGGGCGACGATGGCGTCGTGATGAGTGGAGTCGAAGCGAGCTGACGGAGGATGAGACGAAAGGTGGGCGGTTGTGGGCACACGGAAGCACCCCGGCCCCCTTCCCAAACAGGCAAGCGCCTCTTCAGTGGGTAACGGCCTAGGCTACTAGGTAGACAGGAACAGGAATAGCGCCTTCCGGCCGATGTAAGCGATGGCACAATAGAGGGGTCACTTAGCTCCTCTGACTGGTCCGGTCTCCTGAATTAGGTAGCTAGCCAGCTGCCTGTCAGCGGCGCCAATGCACCACAGTGCTGGGCGCTTTCTAATCCCTGTCTCTGGGACGACGGAAACCACCCGTTGTTCCGGCTTCGAAGCCGTTCTTGGAATCTTTCTTCGCCCGGTGCTGGCATAACAATCTTGACAGCTGCAGACTCTCTCTCTCTCCGAATTCCTGGCCATGATTCCGCCTGGGGAAGCGAGGCGAGCTCAGTTCGAGTTCCACCTCAGAGAAAGGAGCTAACTAACGGGTTTGCCCTGGGTTAGGGTTGTCAAAGTTCACGCGTGTCCTGCCTGTGTATCAAGGCCCAGCGTCGTATGCGCCACCAGCACGTGATGTGATGACTTACGCCAGTAGGTTAGGCAGTCTACGTACCTGACAGGAAACATCAGGACTCTTCGGTCCCGAACTATTAACAGCCTTCTATCTCGCTAGAACACCCGCTTCCCAGCCTCGAACTCCGAAATTATCTGGCAGCATGTCTGTGAGCCAAACAAGCCTTTGTCACGCGTGGACACGAGCCCGGGAACCGGGTCAGCTAAACTAGCCGCTGATTCGTCCAAGCGCCTTTCACCCCCCGTTCGGGCTTCACGGCGCCTCGTCGACCAAACGGCAAAAGACCAGGAAATTGGTGGCTGCAGAGAGGTCAGGACAGAATCCCAGTCACATGAGCCATTGAGTGAGCCGCCATCACAGAGTCCAAGATGCTCTTTTCAACTATTGTGAGCCACCAAACTTGTGCCCTCAGCCCAGTTCTTCACCAAGCACGTTGAGCCCGGTGGGCTGAACTAAATCTTTTGGGGGGGTTAGAACGACCATATTCATGAATAAGTAAGTAGAAGCGAAAATGAAAATCAGCTCTGCATCTTCCATCCCCGGTTCTCACCAACTTCCTCTCCCATCCCCAGCGAGAGGCTGCAAAGTCGTATACCTCCATCTCCGCTATCCTTCTCGCAGGACCCGAGGCCGCTTTCGTGAGTGTATCTTATATATTACACTATTTCTTCGAGTTGGACGAAATCTGCCCTAGAGCCTTGTTCCAATCTTGGAGCCAATACCTCAATGTTCGATCGCTGCCCTTCCCGTCCTTGCATTACACGGAATCATGTTCGGACTCCTTTTCCTTGATTCCTTATCCTCGGGCCATTATTTTTACAATCTTCGTGTATCCAACCTCGCCCAAACACCACGCTTTCCCGGAATCAATAGGCAGAACAAGTAACACACACACACACACACACACACACACCGCATCACTCCGAAAAAAAGAAAAAGAAAGCACGTTTCTTTACATCAAGGCCATACCATGCCGTCATCTTCATCGTCCTCGCCATCATGATCAGCCATCCTCTCTGCTTCCGCCCCGACCGGCCCTATATCTCTCCATCGGAGCAGGTTATGCTCCCAACCCCACTCGATGCGGAAGTTCACGCCGCGAGCGTCGAGGTACCATGCCACCAGGCACTCGATCGAGCACGGCGCGGGTCTCGGGCAGTCGCTCGCCAGCGGGCTCCGCGGCATCTCCTCGCATCCGGAGAAGTCCCGCTGCGCCGGCCCGGAAGGACTTCCGGCGAGGTCGACCATTTGATGGAACCTGTCGTACATGTACAGCCAGTGGGCCATGGCAGTCGCGCTGCCGTAGGCGATTTGATCGGTCGGTCCTGTTTCGGGTACGCCGGTGAGCCTTCGTTCCTCTATGTGTATGTGTGTGTATGTGTGAAGTGAAGCAGAAACCTGTTCAGGGTGGCGTCGGATCACTTACCAACACCGACCCGCCCGCGCATCCGAGCGCAGTAAAAGTAGTGCTCCCCGTGCGGGTGCGGCAGCACAAGCGTGTTGTGCCCCAGCTCTTCCACAGTCTTGAATTCTGGCTCCGCCCTCAGCAACGTATCAGGCCGGAGACGTAGGACTGTATCATGAATAAACCCGCTGGCGATGCTCCAAGCCCACCACCGCTCTGCTGCAAGCGCTACCGTCTTCAACTGGTTGTTAAGTCTCCGCAGCTTTTTGCCACACCTCGTCGCCTTTATCACCTTGTCTCCGCCAGGATAGTCCTCTTCTTCCTGAGCCACAGGGAAGACGTCCACAGTCCGCAGGTGTGAGCCGTAGCACTTCCGCAGCGCCTCACGGATGGACTCCTCAGTTCGCTTGTGTATATCGACGTCAGCAGGTTCGAAGAGCACGTAGGCGAAGACGTCTATTCTCAAGAAGGACGGGTGCTTAGCGATGAGTTTGTCCATATGCGTCTTGCAGCTTACATGGTTCGTCCTGTAGAGCCCTGCGACAATAACGGCCAAGGTGCGTTCCTTTTCACGCTCCCTCGCCGAGACATAGAGGTCGCACAATCCGGCGATAGAGAGCTTTCCTTGGTCCGAGAGCTCGAGTTGCCCGGGTGTGATCTCCAACAGCCCTGTTGAATGCACCTGGTCATCGCTGGAGTTGCGCCCTAATATGGTGTCCACCTGGCACCCTGGCACCAGGTCACTGTGCCACACTATCGTCCATGTGTTCTTCAGGAAGGCGTTGACGACAAGACGGAAGTGGTCCTTCTGCTTCTCGACGATGAGCATACGCCCGCCGCTGTGCTTATCGCCCGTCCCAGTCCACCACACGGGATGGGCGGCCCCGTCCGCGTCCATGCGGTTGAGAACGAGATCTCCGTCGTCTTGCAAGACGAGGGAGTGCCGCCCGCTTGGAGAAGTGAAGAAGGGCATGGCTGCAGATAGTAAAAGACCCTCCGCATCGGGTGATAAAACGGCGGTTCGGGGTTTGAATCCATTGCCACCGACGTCTTCCTCGATTGAAGGCTCGGTTTCGGGCTGGGGACTTGTTAGAGGGTTCTCCGTTGGCCCTGATGCCGGTCGGTGGTGTAAGTCGGGCATGCGCAGCCCAGAACCGGTGAAATGCCAGTCAGGATTCAAGATAATAGCCCATGATGCGAGAAAGAGCATCAAGGCGCCAACAATGACCTTGGGCCTGCGGCAGGCGTTGCCATCTATTCGCACCCACCAAGGTTGATTCGTGACTATGCTGGGGCGATGAGTCGGACCCATGGTCCTCCGATGGTGGCTTGCTCTCTCTCTCTCTCTCTCTCTCTCTTTCCCCCTCTATCTATCTCTGTCTCTTTCTTCTCTTCTCTTGCTCCTTGGTCTTCCGGTCAATAGGGTGAAGAGAAGCGTTGCGTTGGTAGGGTGAGCGAAATCGAGATTTCAGAAAACCTGTCGATGACGGATTCTGTTATGAGTACAGAAAACCAAGAGCCGTTCACACCTTCTCACCAGGGAAAGTGAGCAACCGCCCCGCGCTATGTCAGATGACGCTCAAACACTCCAACGGCGGTCGAGCTCAGACCCCCCTCCTCTTTAGCAGCGCAGACGATCAGCCGATTATGTCGTCTGTGTATGGCGAGTTTGGGCGAGTCCGCGGGGAAGGTTCGCGTGAATCTGAGATTATACTTTGCGTCCTGTTGCATCGATTCGTAAGCTCGACCGCTAAGGTAGTATACCTCTCATCAAGGCCGTGACAGAGGGACGAGTATCGATCATCCAATCCTTTGGACCAGACTGTCCGGTGATTGCGTTCGGAATGATACGATAATAGGTACTGGACCTTGGCCTCCTGAAGTTTCTCTTATATTTTCCCAACGACTCAAGGTAGGATGGCAGAGTTTGGAGTGCTAAATCGGCAAATTATATGACGAACCCAGACGGGGAAGCAGGTTGCCGGAGTGTTTGAGAAGAGATAAGGTCAGCGATAGCAATTAAACCCGACCAACGCAAGGGGCAAGCGCATTTCGAGTGAAGTAATTTCTTGCAACCACGATATAAGACCTGTGTTTTTGCATCGCCGTATGACCCATGCAACGCTGCTGGGGATCGCCTCGGCTACGGATGTTAGTGTTGGTACAAGACATGTATAGCTCGAGACGAGGCAGAGCGGTCCAGACAGGGAGAGGCTCTGATGCACTGCGCTTTCCCACGATCGAAGATCAAACGCAGGGCGACACGGTGTGTATGTGTGTGTGTCTGCGCGCGTGTATGCGAGGGGGTTTTTAGCACCGGGAGAGAAGACTAGAGATGTGAAAATTGCGAAGCCTGGCGCTCTTCCGAGATCTAACAACGACGGGGGCTCCGAACGTGCTGACAAAAGCACGACAGTAGACCAATAGGGGGGCAAAACAATACACAGGTTCCAGAAAGCTCCTCGCCAAAGACGCACGCTTGTTTGCGTTAGATAGTAGCATGATTTCTTTTCTCTGCTTCCCTTTGGGGGCATGGAGTTATATAAGTGAACCTTGGTGAGACTAATTTGCTTCTTCGTACGCCTGACATGTCCCTAGGGGGGCACCAAAACGGGGGGGGGCTCTGAAGTTGAAAAGCGAGTCGTGGAGACCGGGCCATTCTTCCAAAGGGGCGATTTCCATACACTGAAGAGGGTAGGAAACAAAGACGACGGGCGTTTACCAGTCGATGATGCATCTTCAGGTGGGGATGAGGGCGACGGACACGGGGCCCAGGCTACTGCGGCCCGCAGGTGGGTCCGACGGGATGTCACCCTGACGGCTAACGGCAGCCGGGCGGAGTTTGGCGAGCGCATGTTAACGAGAGATACGGGAAGGGGCGTAGGCGGAGACCAACCAAGGGTTCAGCCTGCGGCACCGCTCAAGTCGTAAACATTTACAACATGGTGCGCCTGCTGCCTCGCAGGCAAGCTGGCCGGCCGGTTTCCCGCGGCCGAACCTTGCACAAGCACCCACGGCTTTTTTCGGTCAGGAAATTCGCACACATTGCAAAAGCTGCTGGCGCAGGCGCCGTCGTATGATGAAGGGAAGGGGGAGGGGAGGGGGCGGTCCGTACGGACGCTGCACGTCTTGGCATGCAACACACGACGAAGACATGAATGGCCCAGACTGTGGAACCTGCGTTTTCTTCTTTTCTTTTTCGGTGCCGTCGCGTCGCGTTGTGCGTCCGGGATGCAAGATGTAAGTGAGCGCGGGCGAAAGAGAGAGAGAGAGAGAGAGAGAGAGAGAGAGAGGTCTGATTGCGCGACGCGGGCGCTTGGGATGCAAGGAGCGAGTTCGAGTGCAAAAGCTGGATATCAAGGGGAAAGGAGAAAAAAGAAAAGTCAAATCAATTTGGCATCGCCCGATATGCTGTCCGAAGGCATTTGTGGCCTCATGACCTGCCACCAGCCTACTACCGAGCTTTGCTTTGGGGTCTCGCCAAGACGAAACACTTCCTCCCCCCCCCCACACGAGAAACAAAGCCCCCGCCCGACTCCTCCGATCCTTTGAGGTTACCCAGACCGGGGCCACACGCCGACCAGTGCCGGCCGGATCCACACCACCGCCCTCTTCTCGTCACGGCGCCGGCTCGACACGTCAAAGCGGGGAGGGAGGGCACTACCAGGCCAGGCGAGACGAGGCTCATGATGTCGGTGATGGTTTTGAGGGCTACCCGAGCGAGTCAGGAAAAGCAGCACCAGATTTGAGAATCAAGAGGAGCAGAGAGGCATAAAAAAAAGGCCCCGGGCACGAGCTAGACGGGCAATGGGTTGAGTGAGTCATGGCGCACCCAGGACAGATGTGTGAAGGATAGCTGAGTGAAGGACAGCTGATTGACAAGTCTTTGGTATCCAATAGTGTACCTATTGATCTCTACTCTTGTTCCTGCCGGCATTATCAGCCGGCATTTGTCTCAAATCATGAGCCCGCCTCCCCATCACAGAATTCTGGACTAGAAAATAGAAAAGAATAAAAACAAGAAGGCCTCATGTTTTCATGACGAAAAACGAAAACGAGGGAAAGAAGAATAAGAATAAGCAATCATTGCATCCAGATGCACAGGGGCGGCGGCCTTTAGACCGCCGAACCGACGGATCCCCGCCTCGCCCGGACGTTGTCGACGTCGCCCCCCATCTGCCGCTTCCGCGCGGCGTTGATGGCCTTGAGCTTCGCCGTGCCGAGACCGGCGACGCCGTTCTCCTGGTTGTCTCCCAGCCACGGCTTCTTGGCGTCGCCGAGCATGCTGCCGGCGAGGAAGTAGGCAACCTGGCCGAGGATGATGAGCACAAAGGCGATGGGGTACATCCAGTGGACGGCGTAGCCGAAGACGTTGACGCCGATGATGACGCCCCAGAAGTTGCCCGTCAGCAGCGAGATGTTGTAGAAGGCGGCGCTGGCCATGCGCAGCAGCAGCGGCACCAGGCTGTAGAAGAGGCAGAGGGCCAGGGTGTAGCCGATGAGGTAGCCGACGGTCGGGCCGTTCCACGAGGCCTCGCGGAAGGACTCGCGGTCGAAGATGGCGGCCTGGACGCCGTTGATCATCATGCCCCACATGCCCATGAAGGAGAGCACCTCGTAGACGGGGCGGCGGCTGACGAACCACTCCTCGGCGACGTTGGTGACGCCGTAGAGCGTGGCGCCGAGCAGGGCAAAGAGGTCGCCCTTGAGCAGGTCGAGGCCGGGACCGCCGTTGGAGCCGGTGATGTGGTCGCTGGCGAGCAGGACGCCGCAGCCGCCGATGGCGACGAGGATGCCGATGATCTGGAAGACCTTGTAGCGCACGCGGAGCAGGAAGAAGGACAAGACGATGACGACGACGATGGCCCAGAAGTTGAGCAGCTGGGCCGAGAGGATGTTGGTGTAGCGGTAGGCGAGGACGGTGAAGTAGTTGCCCTCGACGTCGAGGAAGGAGAGGATGAAGTATTTCCAGCCGTCCTTGAGGAGGAGCCTGCCCCACTTGGCGAAGCCGTACTTCCAGATGGTGACGGGGAAGTAGATGAGGAAGAGCAAGATGTAGTTGAAGACGGTCTGGAAGGCCGGGATGGAGACGTGGTTGTTGGCGAGGAAGGACGTGAAGGTGTTGGTCGAGGTGATGCACAGGGCGAGGATCTGACCGACGAAGAGGACGATCCAGAAATCGAGCGTGGTGAAGTAGCTCCACCAGTGCACCTTGCGCGCCTCGATTTCGTGGAGGCCCTGGTTCACGAGTTCATCCTCGTTGGGACCGGCGGTGATCTGCGTCGTCGTCACCGGTGCGGCGAAGTGGTTCTTGGCGGGGTCGTCGGCGGACATGGCGGGCAGCGGCTCGGTGGCGTGCGTCTGGCGGTGTTGGTTTCGGCGACCCTGGACAGGATGGTCTCGAGGCGGAATGCGATGCCGTGCTTGCAGCGACCTGGCCGTGTGGTTAGCCGTTGTCGAGGTTGCACAGGACACGGGAGGGTGGATGTTCGTCCCGGTGGGGGGGGGGGGGGGGGGGGGGGGGAGTTCGACATACCTTGCGCGCTAGCTCAGTCAAACGTGATGCCGTCGCGATGGATTGATTATTCAATGCTGTGTATGTGTTGATTAGAAGCGTAGAATGCTTTCCGGTCTTTCTCGTCCCCTGGCAGCAAGCGCAAAGACTCCAAAGTCGCCTGCTGTTTGGTCTATCTCGCGATAGGATGGCACATGTACCGATGCGCCGGGAAGTGGTATGCGAAGTTGATGGCCGTGACGGCGCGCAACATGGGACTGCCGTCGGAGGCTATGCAGCAGTAGGCTGGCTATATATGCCTTTTGGGTATTGCCGCGCTTGACGATGGGTAAATCGAAATCGTAGCTATTTGAGTCCGGCGCAGTTTTGGTCGACACCCTTCTTTTCTCTCGGTCGCAAAGATGGGAGGAGCAGGAGGAGGAGGAGGAGGAGGAGGAGGTGAGGGAGGGGTTAGAATTGAGCTCTATCTCGGTCTTTCTCTCTGGTTTTCTTCTATCGGGGCGACATCCTGGTCACTCGGCAAGAGAAAAAGAGAGGGAAAAAATTTATCAGAAAAAGACAGCAGTTAGTCGCTATCGCCAAGGGTTAGTTGGGTGGGTAGTGGGGAGCTATTGTAATCGCCACGAGGGACAGACTGTCCGCCCTTCTGACTGGTCTCGGAGTGCCAGCCCACCGCTTCCCATTGCAGCATCGCAACCGGTCCAGGCTGGCGGGACCGGCCGATTTCCAATGTTTCCCCGTCCTAGTGGACGACGCGCCGGCCGACATGGCCGTTTTAGGGGACGTGACCCCCCCAAACCCTCGTGGACTACTTAATTGGCCCAGGCTCCTGCTCACCTGGTCCGTGTTGGCGTGCTTTCCCCCCCACGGCCATTCATGGTATGGTGGAAGGGGGGCGCCAACTGCGCGTTGTGTGTTCCTCGAATGGGGTGCTCTTCTGTCGCAACCTTCAACTCCCCGACTGACCCCCTATCGCGGGGAGCTGAAGCTTGCCGGCAGTAGTGGCTTGGACCCGGACAGTATGGGCAAGAACTAGACTTCGTCGAGCTGGGAAGACGACCCGCGTGGTGCTGCGGCATGCAGAACGTGGCGCCAATAGCCGACCGGTGATTATTCCTGGGCCTTTCGGCCTGCTTGGTAGGGATGAAGGTTTCCCTTCTTTTCCTCTTCCATTCCCACAGAGTACCGTGAGAACGGCCTCGCTTTCGCTTTGTATTATGTTCAAACGTGTTCGAAATCACCTGTATCGGCATCCGAGCCATGCACCTGGGACCTGAAGGCAATGGCTTGTTTGTGTAACTATCGCCGTTTCGTTTCTCTTAGACTGACAAAAAGAAGAGTGTGGTTACAGTGTTGTGCTATTGCAAGAGAGAGAGGATTCTCATCTGCCGCTTTGCTCCTTCCATTCATGGAAAGAACCGGTTGGAGAGGACTACCTAGTTGGAAAGAGCTCCGGCGCGGAGGGCATATCTTCACTCCAAAAGACACCAGGAAAAGAAGGAGCAAGCGGCAGGCTGAGCCACACACTTCATCATCACAACTCAAGGTGAGGAAGGCTTTAACCATTCACTCGAGCGTGGAAAACGCGATCCTGGTTGCTTCTTGAACAGCATATCGAGAAAGTCGGAATTTAGCCCGAACGTTGATGCCAGGCCGCCATCAGGCGCCGGACCCGCTTGACCGGGACGGGCTTTTGCGATATGGAAACGGCCGGCCCCCCAACCCCTCGGATCCGATTCCAGCAAGCAAACTACAAGTTCAGCAAAAACAAGTGCCTGTGGCCGAAGCGTCTGCGCCACGCCGCGCCACGTCACAAAGTTCGACGTGATGCTGAGGGGATCCCGGAAAGGGAGTCGATCGGGGCAGACCCTGCCAGAAACCACCCACCAAAAAAAAGGGGCGTCGGGCTAAGCGCAAGAGAGTCAGCAACGGCGTCAAAAGCCAAAGGGCTTTTCCCCCCCTCCTAGGTCTTGATTTGTCAATGTCGTGTCGGCACGTTGCGCGCGGCAGCCATCCCCGATGTACAGTCAAAGTCAATCTCTGTTGCTTGGCCCGTTATCGCAAGCCTGCGCAGAACGGCGCACAGCCGAGAAGTCAAAATTCATCGGGGGAGTGAAGGTAGGGGAGGCCGAGGCAGAAGGCATTGCACATTAAAGCGGCGAGAACTCAGGCATCGATAACGTTATTAGTATACTCGATTAATTGAAAAAAATTGCTACCCTGTGTCTTACAGCCAAGACGTTGCGTCGAAAGGCAAACCAACAGGCCATGATCATCATCCTTTCTTCTTTTTTTTTTCATGGAACAAAATCCCGCCGTCCCGTTCTAGTCATCAAGGTCTGGACGTTTGATCGAATCATCCTACTTCGTCCAGTCCTCATTATCCCGTTCCTGTTCGTATGAACACATAGCACACGCCCCGTGTTCTCTGCACCGACAAGATAAAAAAGCCGTTTAGAGGGCAGCAACGATACCAGCAATGGCAGCGAGGGCCAGACCACCGACAGCAGCGCTGCCGTGGGCGGCGGCGTTGCCGGACGCGGAGGGAGAGGCGCTGGCAGAGGTGCCGGAGGGGGCGGCGGTGGAGGCGGTGCGGGAAGGAGTGCGGCTGGCGGTGAGGGAACCGGTGACGTTGGAGGCGGAGGTAACGGCGGCGGTGGCGGAGGACGCGACGGAGGTGGCGTTGCTGCCGGCGGAGGCAGCAGCGGAGGTGACGGCCTCAGTGACGGAGGCAACGGCGGAGGTGACGGTCTCAGTGACGGAGGCGGCGGCGGAAGAGGCGGCGGCGGAAGTGGCAGCAGCAGCAGAAGAGGCGGGAGCAGAGTTACCGCCACCGGCCTTGAAGGCCTCGCAGGCGGCGGCGGCGGCAGACTGAGCCTTGGTGAGGTCGGCCGAGTTGCAGGCGGCAAGCAGGCAGGAGGCGGCGACGGGGACGAGGGCCTGCTGCTTCTCCTCGGTGCACTGGCAGGCCGTGTCGGTCAAGGAGCAGCCGACCTTGGGGATGGCCTCGGTCAAGCAGGGGATCTAAGGAGGGGGGAGCGCGGTGTTAGTTCAATGCCTCGGAGACGACAGTCGTTCGCGGAGGGAAGAAATAGAGGGTACGTACGGCACACGAAGGCTGGCCAGAGAAGTCCTGAGCGGCGACGAGGCCGGCGGCAACGAGGGCGAGGGTGAACTTCATTGTAAATGTGGGTGTGTGGGTGGTGGTGGTGGTTGTTGGGAGAGTAGTATTAGGGTAGTATTAAGTTGGATTGGCGGTGATATACAGAGCGAAGGACAGCCGACGTTGGGATTAAGATATGTGACGGATGGAGGGAGAAAGATCGAGAAAAAGATGGGCTACGGTTGCCCGGGCAGACGGGAAGGGGGGTGATAAATATTCGTCCCGAAGCACTGCGCAAGCCACCATGAGAAGAGGAGAGAGAGAGAGAGTCAGGGAGATGAGACCCCCTGTCCCGAAGCTTTTCTTTCCCCTTTGCCATTTCCTGCAAAAGCTTATCCCACATATCCGCACCGCACAGCGTTGCCACTTGGATGGTAACGCTAGCAGCGTTAGCCTCGCCTCGTTTCCCTCCTCTGTTGGCGCGGGACCGGCCTGGCCTAGCCCTGGAGGCCCTGGGTTCAACTTGGGGAAGTGAGGGAGGTTAGGGTCAACTTGTCAAGGGGCTAAATCTCCCCCGGACCTGGGCGGACCCATCTGCCAGGTGGCCTGCCGGTTTTTCCAGGCATCAAGCGTCCGTATCCGTACCTGGCACCTGCATGACGCCTGGTTTTTTCTTCCCCCGGCCGACAGGGGGGGGGGAGGGGGGGGGCCTTAGCATTATGCTGCCACTGCTGCTGCGTGCTCGATCAAGGCGGGTGAGTACACGGGCAGAGCGTCTGATCCAATTGACCGGAATTGGTCCTCCAGGAGAAATCCAGCGAATGTTTATCCCTTATTCGATCACGTCGACGGGGAGAGCCGGGTTCATAACAGGAGGTTTTGATACGTCCGTTCGCCTTCCAGCTTTTCTAGCAGTATCCACTGCATACGGTAGGTAGGCAGGTAAGTAGCTCCCTTCCTCAGCTGTCTTCAGCTTCCAGCCCACAGCCTCTCGCCTCCCGTCCGTGGGCCTCTTTGCAGCTTGCCCGCATTAGCTCCAGCCCTGCAATGTGGCAGAGACAGCAGAGACAGCCGAGAGAAAGCACAAGAGACGGCGGGAATGCGCCCAAAAGGGAATACGGGCACCCGTGCGTTTCCATTGGATGGCAGGTGGCTTGAGCTTGTCGACGGTTGACTGGACGAGCGTTGGCGCCGTCGGCTGTGCTGCGTTAATGGGCCTAGACCTCGGGAACGATCGACCCAAAAAGACTTTCGTACATCGTAGATGCACCTCAGTTTACGTACACACATTCGACGCTCTTCCTTGGCTGTGTCGTCCATCCTGGTGAATCTCTCTCTCTCTCTCTCTCTCTCTCTCTCTCTCTCTCTCTCTCTCTCTCTCTCTCTCTCTCTCTCTCTCTCTCTCTCTCTCTCTCTCTCTCTCTCTCTCTCTCTCTCTCTCTCTCTCTCTCTCTCTCTCTCTCTCTCTCTCTCTCTCTCTCTCTCTCTCTCTCCCCCGAAGTCATCATGACAAGGCCACTGCCGCTGACAGGAGTTGAGCCCATTAGTCGTTTCAACCAACCGGCCGACCGACGGTTCGCCGTAACGGTGATACGGAATCTAATCAGGACAGTGCGAGCCATCGGCCGATGCATCGATGCCACTACTCAGGTTGGCATGACATGACATTGTGATGTAGTATAGGGGTGGGTGGAACCGGGGGCCAGGGCGCGCGGG